TTATTTTACTTTTGCCTTTTTTTTTTTTTGTTTGTTTGTTAAGTTTTTTGCTTTCTACCATGAGGCTTTAGTAGGTAAATATCCTGAAGAGGAATCCTGTTTTTTCAGTCTGAGTAGGGTCCAGCCCTCACTGCTGCTCAGGTCAGTAGCTCCTGCCCATTGCTACATGAAGTTCTGCTGTCCTGGATTCCCCTTCTTTAAAGGGCAGATGTTCAGCCCAGTCAATAACATGTAAGGGACACTATATTTTAGGTCCTTAAGGGTAAGAGCTGATAATTAACACAGCCCAGCTCTTGGTCTGCTTCATACAGTGGCAAGCCGCTGTCAGAGCATGCCACACCTGAAGTTCTGACCTTTCTGCCATGTCTAATACAGTGCTTCCTTTGTCACCTGCTTGTTTCACACACACAAGTAGCTTTAGAGACTGCTGCCCCTGCAGTAGTTCTACCTGAGGCAAGCTGGCCTCCGAGGAACAAGACATAGTGGTCTTGACTCGGCCATGATTTCCTCAAGGAACCATAACTGCTGATGAATTGGACTTCAAAGGATAAGCTTTTACAATCAGATCTGATAGAACAAGCCTGTGGACTAAGGGCGCTATCATCAGACCAAAGGCTCTTTTATAGTGTGGATTGCAGGTTCTGGAGACTGTAGTCTTCCAAAACAGATTTTGTACGTGTTTGGGTCCTGCTTTCTGGTAGTGGGCAAACCTGCTGACCTCAGAAGAAATGGGCAAGAACAAAGTCAAGAGGCCCAGAGGAACCATGGGACTAATTTGCATGTTTTATTCCTATTGCCCTTGAGAACTTCACTGAAGTTCAGTGGAGTTTCCAGGCTTTCTCTGTCCAGCAGTGGATACAGCTGGTATCAAGAAGCTTCCACGACGTTCTCCTCATTGGTATTTGAGCCTTGTTGTCATGCCTTTCAGCCTTATATTCCTGAAACCCAACCTCGAGAGGCTGGACTTCTTCAACCTGATGTGGATTGTGGGGATCGCAGACTTCATACTGAAGTACCTCACCATCGCGTTGAAATGCCTGATTGTCGCCCTGCCTAAGATCATCCTAGCTGTCAAGTCAAAGGTCAGTCTCTTTTTTTCTTGATATGCAGATGTTTGTCTTTGATAATCTAATACTAATCTTTACAGCATGTTTTCAGCATGAAATATGGGTGGAAGAATAGAAATAATAAAATCTCTGATAAAACTTTGTCAGAAAGTAACCTGGGTAGTGAGTTTTTGTTTTTGAGCCATTGCTGACCTGAGCAAGGGTTTGGTAATGCCAGCAAGTAATTAAAGTCCAGAGGGAGGGAAGCATTGCTTGAGAAGGAATAGGTACTAGCAGTGAGATAACTGCTTTTCTGGTTGACTTTGTTCCAAGTCTTGTTTTCTGAGTATTCTCTGTGAACAGATATCTTAACAAATCTCTTAATGGGAAAAACACTTCTCTTTGGCTTACCACTTGGGTCAGCAGTAGTAGCAGTATTGAATTGAAGCTACTGCTGCCACAAAAGACAGCACCGGTTCTAACCATGGGTAAAGAAATATTTTAACTAAATGGTTAACACACTTAAATGTTTATAAAATCCTATGGAGACTAGGCCTCACTATTGGAACTTTCTCACTATATTCTTTTTCTTTAAACACCTTTTCATGTTTGTTTTTGTTTTAACTCTTCCAGATGTCACGCTGCCCCTTCCTCCAGTTAGTAGTGTCTACATTACAGTGGCAAACATAGCAATGTGTATTATTTGCATTTGGTAAAGAAACTTTATGGCAGCTAAAGGGCTGAAAGGCACTACATAGATGCAAGATATTATCATTACTCCCTGAAAGTCTCAGGCAGGGCACTTAAGGGGATATCTAAACTGGGAATAGTTTTGCTTACAAATGACATGGGTGGCAGGGGAGTTGAGCAGTTTGTTCCTGCACAGCAGGGCTATTTGAGATGGTTATTAATTTATTTCTGGCAGTTGTCCAGCTCTTTTTTTTTTCCTTCTATTATTATTATTTTATTTTGGGAGATTAATGTGCTAGGTCAGAGCATAATCCAGCCTGGGGAGGGAGGGAAAAGTGATGTGAATAGTCTTCCCAAGATAAATTGCAATGTTGGAAAAGGTTCACAGCCTTTGCTTGCTTGTCTGAGAGCTATCCCAAGTACTCATTAATCCTTGTCGGGAGAGAAGAAAGAGAAGGGGTCTTTATTTGCAGCTACAGTGGGAGGCTGGTAAGATCACATCTGTCAAGGGCCTATAATGACTCAGAGCACAGATGCTTCATTTTTAATACCTTTTTCTGGATAGCAATATTTCTCACTTTAAGTCCCTTTTTGTCTTAGGATGTCGTTGATGGTCTCACTGTCCCTCGACATCTGAGACTGCTGTTACCTACCACTATGGATCTGGATTTATTTTTGTCCCCCTCTTTACAGTGCATCCAGTAAGCCAGCTAGGGATGAGATCTGGTGTAACAAATTAAGCAAGATCAAACTGGGATGGGAGGGCTCCAAGAGAACTCCAGGATGCCATAGAAACTGTAATTGGTAACCACATAGCTGAGATCTCTGCCTGAACCTGATGACCCAGCTTGCTTCCACAGGCCAGCACAATGCTACACATCTTATCTTTCAGATGAGTTTTTTTAAATGTAAGCTTTTTCTGAGTTAGTACAGTTCTATGGCACTTTAGGCATATTAACTTTGACCAAATTCTTACCAAGTTATTTGCTAGCTGCTATCTTAACACTTGCCAGATAAAAAGTTATTCTCTTCCTCCCCGCATGCTTGTGTTTCTGCTTGAAGCCCGACTCACAGTTTATGAACTTCTTTATGGCTGTCACTTAATGGTAGCAGGTAGCAAGCTGCTGGAGAAATATAAATTAAACTTACACAGCAGAGCTAGAAGAATTTTTCAAGATATACCTACACTGAAATTTTTTCTGCCAATATAACTCTAGCAACCTCTAGCTCCCCATAATGCAGGACCTGAAGTGGAGATGGCTGCACTGCAGGGATAGAGTTCAGCACAGCTGTGAATGGGACAGAGGTGTTTCATCTCGAGCTTCCTTGCAGTACCTTCTTGCTGGCAGTCAGCAATACATGGTAAAGCTCACCCATAGACGGGATATCAGGGAGTTTGATCATTCTGCATTCAGCCTCTGAGCAGGCTCTTCAGACTTCCTTTCTTTTGGAAGTTCAAAGGCACTTCCAAAGCTAGTCTGGCTTTTCATGCTGCTCCTTGAGATTCTAGTCTTCTCTGACTACCATGCAGTTTTCACTGGTACTTGCATAGCCTTTCTAGTGTGAGGCATCTCCTCTGAACATCCTTCTTTTAAGTCTCTTAACTCTCCATATCCATTGTGATTGGAGCAAGATCAGATTCTTTTTCTTTTACACATCAAAGTCTTCGTATTGCCCCTTCTCTACAGACTGACCACCACCAATTTTTTGAGTCTTTTCTCAGTGATCATCCATTCCAGATCTTACTCCCTTTTGGACTGTCTTCAGTCACCCCTGTTTTCCAGACCAGTCTCTCGAGGTGAGTTTGGATTATAATCCTTTCCATGCATTTACAGACTTTCCCAGTTTAGCATCAACTGTGCATTTGATAAGCCTGGTCTGTTCTATCAAGATCATTAATGAAAATAGGGAGTAGTACTAAACCCTTCCTCAGGTGCATCTTTTCATTTTCACAGTGAATACATTAAAAATTTGGGCTAGAACACTCAGTTCTCCCAGTCTAAACTGCCTGGGTCCTGTATTCCCAGTATGGCCCCATCACAGGAAGCACAAGATTTCATTTAAAATGACATCAAGAACTATCTTGGATTTGTAGCATCAGTTTATGCTTTAACTGAGAAAAAGCAAGCTAAGAGGCAGAAAAAGGTTTGTCTTTGCAGTCAGAATACAGAGAGCAGTAAATGTGATAATGAATGCTTGAGGTGTGAGGCATGAAGACTGCTATATTATCAGGATACAACTAGAGTTCTCCAAGCTCAGAAATGGAATATCTCTGCAAGCAACCCCTCCAAAGAATGAGGCAAGATTGAAAATTTGACAAAATAATCCCAGACTTTCCCAGGTTCCAAACCAGCCTGGAAAACAGATATGCCAAAAGGGGCTGTGAGACCACAATCCAGATGGAAGGCAGGGAAAGAAGAGCTTGCGAACAGGGTAGAAACGCAGGAAAAGGAAGGCAACCCCAACATCAGACTCCAATCCTACACCTCTGCAATCAGGGGGAGAAGGAGCATACCTGTGGCTAAAGATGTCCCTTCCTCCCCCATGAGCTGTGACGGGCACGTCAAGCTGAGTGCAAGTTTTAATAGCAGCTGGGCTCATAATTTCTTTGGAAGGGGGGCTTGGCTCCCACCCTGTGTGCTGAAGGCTCTCCATTAAAAAAGGCAAATAAGATCATTTAGTTCAATATAAAATGAATTAAAGTAAATTAAACTGCAGGAGCCATGTGGCCTGCAGAGGCCTCCATTGTTGTACACACATAAATGGCAGCTTTTCATTTTCACTGCTAAGGAATGACAGCTTGAGGGGGGTGGAATTAAAAATAAGGAAATAAATAATAAAAAGACACAGTTGCCAAAGATTTTGTTTAGGAAATCCCAGGTGCCTGCAAGTCTCCCATCCCCTCCTCATGCTGTTGTCAGCAATCTAAGCTGATATCCTGGAGAATGGAGTGATGCAGAAGGGAAGGGGGGAAGAAGAAAAACAAACGAAAAGAAGCATAAGAAATTGGTATCCGAGGTTCTTTTATGTATATATGTATCTCCATATCTCTATAGGGGAGAAGGATACCAGGGACACACTTGTTTTCCAGTGGTCTTAGGGCCTTTCTTATATACCAGCATTAAGAAAGAATTTTCTTTGCACGCTCAATACAGATGTAACAACCAAGTTACAAGGGGCTGCATTTCCAGAAGACTGAAAATTCAAAAGGAAAGCACTAGCATTGTTTTTTGAAAACATAGTATGAAGTAACTATTGAATAAATACTTGTCAGTTTTGTTTGAAAGCTGGATCTACACATTGCAAATGAGTTTTTTGTGGCAAGACTGGCATTACTCGTGAAGCTTTCTTTATGCCGTTCAAATGGTGTCAGGGACAAGCGTACAAATACTAGTCCCACACTAGCATTGTGGACTCCCCACTGCATCTTTGGAAATATTTGCTTGGGGTTTTTTTTGTTTGGGTTTTTTGGTGCCTTTTTTTTTTTTAAAGTACCATCTCATCGTATCTTTTTAGAGAGAACCTGGCCTGTATGTGGCAGACGTTTTTGCACTTGGACTTTGGAACAGATCCCTTTTTCAGGTGCATCCCATGTTTCCTAGCAGAGATCGTTACAGCTCTTACCATGTGAACTGGCATGTTAAGCTTTCCATATTCCTTCTGGAGCTGTACTTTGGATATGAAAGAAATATCAGAATGTCTTTTGCACAAGGTAGTATGATTTGGATCATTCAGATGAAGCAAAGTCTCTTAAGACAATGTATTACAGTGTCAGCTGATCTGCAATGACTACATATCCTTTGAGTCTGAAGCTAGTAAGACCTCATTTTGAGTTGCCCCAGCGCTCTTCCAAAGAGCACAAGGATGTCCACAGTTGCTTTGGTTATGATGTCACCACCTGTTGCTGCCTCTGTGCACAGCCATGTATCATTAAATACTAATTGTAAAGAAAATGGGCAATTACCTTATAATTATTAGAATTATTCTGCAGCCTGCCACCATCTTGTGTCAGAGCTCATCTCCACGGGATACCATGGTCCAAAATCCTGGTGCCCAGCCTGTCTCACCAGGCAGACTGACCCTTTCTCTGTCACAGGAGTAGTTACACAAATGACTTGCATGTGCAGAAGTTTTATGCTCCTCAAGCAATAAGCTCTGCTTGCACTAGGCATACATCTAGAACAAACCATGACATTAAAAAAGTCCATCCTTCTTCAGCAGGGGAAGGAGGGTAAGCTGGAGCAGTTTGCTGCTGCTGAAACATTTTCTCTAGGGCTACAGCCTTTTCCAGAAGGCTCACAATAGGAGAAGGTACCAGAGTGAAGTTGTGTTAATTGTGGCGGTGA